ACAACCAAGCATCAAGGACACCGGATTACGAATTTGTCTGTATCTGTCACTACTGATAATGTACCAGGTCATTCAGAGATTGATGCCGGGTTTATTCAAGAACTCAACCTCCGGATAAACTTGGAGAACTTATCCATTGTCAGTTGTCATTTGAAATCTCATTATATTGTTAGATGATTACAATGTGCCATCAGTGGTCATAAGTAGCTTTCATTCATTGCATTACTTCTACTAAGTTACAAGTAATGTTATGCTGAAGCTAACATAACATGTACAAAAGCAAAGCTAGCCTCAGATTTAGCTCCAGATTAAAATTCTATAATAGTCGTTGCACTGCATTGTGTTTGATATGGGACTTATACAACGTGTGTAAAATTCGAACACACACTGTGCGGCGACTGTAGCTCTTTAATTAATATTCATAAACAAACTCACACCAACATTGGTATCGCAGCAAATCCTGATTTATTGTCTGGAAAGCTTTCAGCTTTAGCAGAGCTTATGATAAAATGCAGACCTGTATTGAGATTCAGATATGTAGCTGCTGTAAGTCATGTTTGTTTGTTTATTTTTTCCAAAATCTGAAGCTATCTCTTGTTTCTTAACTCAATCATGATTCTATTGTGCAATTTACTTTATTTATAAACAGTGTTTTGCAAACATCACTTTGTACTGGATTGATACCATATCTATCAATACCAATATAAGTACACAATTTGTTTCTTGTTTTAACCTTGGCTAAATCATTCAATATATTCCATACACTTGTACCATTATAAGTTACTATAGAGAGGGAAATATTCGCTGATTTTCATTTTAGCAGATTTAATTGTTGGAGGGGTATTTTAAGTTTTAAATTCACTGGTCTATTAAGGAAATAATATATTCTTTACATATTGACTGGGTTTAATTTAGCACATTCAGCTGTCAGTGAAATAAGTGAAAATAAAATCCAGTGAATAATTAGCCCTATACACTATTTTTGCGGTATAATATCTTAGTAGTTAATTAACATAATAATTAAAATTCATGTCAGAAATTGTTTTTCTTACATATAATATATGGAGGGGATTTGAATTGAGAAAATCTGTCAATAAGCAAGCTGTGCTCTGATTGGTCTGACTGTTGTGTGTTAGGATTGGGTAGCCAATCAGGCACAATCTTCAAAGTAGCTTCACATTGACTCAAATTCTGAATCTCGCTGATGAAAAAAATGCATTACATGAGGTTTGTTACTTTGGCACAAGATTTTACACAAAAATTTCAGTATGCCCTTAACAAGTGAATGAGTATTAAAATCTAAATGATGAGTTTTTAAATGAACTTGATTTCTAAACTATTTACAAATTACCCATATGTGGATATTTCAAATTTTTTATTGACTTTATCTTGGTGTCATATTGCAAGGAGTCATTTACTAAATATTAGGCGGGTTAATATTATGCCTAGGCTCAAAATGCCTTTTTGGGGGAATTTAGTATTGTTATTGTTTGGCATACATGTTTTACTCACTGATTGAAAATCCATCAGAAATTCGGCATCAAGTGTGCCATTTTGAAGAACTGTCCATTTCATTTTTGACCGCAGACTGACAATGCACTTTTCATTTATGCTTTGGATGGTTCTGGGCCTTCATGCACTAAAGAAAACTTTGGACCTGTGGATAAAACAGGAGTGGCTAATTTTATTACTCTGCACTTGCTTTGTACATTCAAATTTTCGTGTATGAACAAAGAAATTTATGTAAATAAGAGGGTTGAAAATATAATCACCAAAATGTTGTTGTTTTGTACGATGACCAGATGTCTGACGGTCAAGAATAAGCAGCAGCATTGCTTGTGGGTTGGCCTCATTCAGTGTTTGTACAATGCCCAGTACCCTTGCCCTCTGTGTGTTGTATCTATTCGCTTGATAATATGATTTACATATAATTTCTGTGTAAACAAAACCATGTGCAATTGTCAAGGATAATACAACTTGTATTAATTGTTATCATAGTCTTGAATGGTATGCTGTATACAGGACAGTTTATCAAATACTACACTGTGTCGAAGGTCAGGTGAGATAAGTTGTGTCAACATGTATGTGATTGGCTACAAACCCTACATATGCCTGGCAGAGCTCGGTAGATTTCCATGTTCAGTAACTAGTTTTTGTTATCACCAATAAGATTGCTGACCTGATCATGTGACTTGTCACTAATTGCATGATATCAGTGCTGAATGACAAATCCTCCCCAATACAAAATTGTAAATATTCCCCACTTCTAGGGCTACCCTGTTTTTGTTCTGTTCGATTTGTTTTTTTCTCTGATATTTACAATATTTATTTAGATTAGAAAATATATGTTAAGCTGATAATCTTTTCACCACCAGTACCCTCTTTTTATCACTAATTCACAAAATAGTCTGCACTTTTCTTCAGAAGATTGGAACAAAAATAGCAACATTTTTCGAGTAAAAACAGAAAATTTACTCAAGTTTTGTCTGTTGGCTCCAAGTTTTGAGTTCATTTCCAGAAATATTGAAGAATATAAGTAAAAAGTGCAGAAATATTTCGACTAGAAAGTCTGGTGGTGAAAAGGTTAAATTAATCCTGAACCTCCCAAATGTGCTTCAATTGTCATGTCAGAAAAAAAAATATGTGTTACCCTTTTTTAGCCAACTGTGTTTCAGTGCTCTTTTCTATGCTAGGGTATAAGCCCCAGATGTTTTTCACTGTGTCTGAAAATGTGAAACTTGATCTGGCCTGTTATCACATATCAGTCGGCCTTGAGTACTACTGCTAGTGCGTGTGAAGAGCTATAAATAGGCAGTTAAATCTACAGTGGCATACTTCACATCGTCTTCAAAAAGTGGGAAAATCGGCAGAATTTTTGCAGTCCTTTACATGGTTTTCAGTAATTTTGCAGGCACAATAGGACTCAATTGCACTATGGATAAGAACAGTAAGTAACAGTTGGCTATATCAGTGGAAATACTAGGAAATAATTGGCCAGTGTTTTGAACACATTAGAACACAATTGGCCTGCCTTGCATGCACATTGAGAAACACTGCACTATGGATACGGATGG